TTTCTCATCTCTTTCTCATCTCTCTCATCTCTCTCTCTCCTCTCTCTCTCTCTCTCCTCTCTGTCTCTCGTCTTTCCGTCTCTCTTCTCTCTCTTCTCTCGCAGGAGGATCCGGGCAAAGAGCCACATATAAAGGACTCTTCACCCCTGCCTCCAAAAAGAGCGCCGTGTTTTTTCCTACCTCGCTGCCCTCCACTTTCCCATTCTGGAGCGCTAGCTTTCGCCCCCCCCTTGGCCTCAAGTAATTCTGTTGTTGTCATTCTTGGGCACGCGCGAAAGAAGCATGTCCATGTGATTCAAACCATATGTTTCGCCATGGAAAATGAGTCGGTGCATTTGTTTTGCGTTGTTAAAACCGGGTATTCTGAGGGTGTCCAAAATGAGGTCCGAGGTGAGTTGCGTGGTTTTTGTATTTTTCACAACGGTCACAATGCCTGTTTGAAACATTGGGACGGTGCACTGGAGCCGTTCGGTTTTGAGCAAAGAGGGCCAGTGCATCCAGAACGCTTTCTAGACCAGGCCTTTTGTTGAGTCTGTGAACAGCCAACAGGTTGCGATGTTCAATTGGATCAGAAGCAGAAGTAATCAACAAACCGGCCCGGCGTAATTGGCACCTTATCATAGGGGCAACCACAGAGATATCATATCAAGAGTAAACCTTACCAGAAAGATACCAGAGAAATTCTGTATATGAAGCCAGATAAATATACTTGTATAAGTCATACGCAACCAGAGAAAGTTAGTCTCACGCAATGCAAAAGTTCTGTCTCTGGCATCTCCATGGACCGATTGTTTTCAAGACGCTGCAAGCGCCCTCTGGCACCTTGTGCTGCCCCATTTCCGCATCCCTCCAAGCCCCCCACACCAATTTAATCACATTGTCATCCGATGACAATGTTGTGAAACCAATGACAATTAAGTTATGAAACCGATGATCATGTGATGAAATCGATGGTGACGCTATGAGATCCTGATGCTATGACGATGATACCTTCACGGAGAACCCCCCATCCCCTTGGTATCATGACCCTACTTGGGTGCACAAGTGTGGTCAGGCACTTCCAAAACGTTCACTGTGTGGAGCCAAATTCTTTATGGGAAACGACGACCTCTGTCGATTTGTGTTGATCTTGAGTGACGGGTGTGGCCAGGGTGTATCATCTTGGAAGTTGGACGTTTCCACTTGCGACAGTTAGGTCTTTCGTTGTTTGTTGTTCCCTCCATGTGGTTTCGCTCTAATTCGCGTTTGCAGCCAAGCTGACCGAACAGATTCTTGATGGTAACAGGTTCAACCAATGTTTTTCAAGGAAACTGAGGGAGTCGGCATTTGACATTTTCTTCTGTCCAAGTCTTTACAATTCGAAGACCTGAGTGAACGACGACGGTTGAGACAGGAATTCCCCAGTCGCGTGAAACGGACAACGTCAGAGTGACTCGCTATGAGATGCCCCAACAAATGCGTCATTCACATGAAACTCGTGGCTTGTCCTTCTTGTTTCATGGGTATTGCCCCCTGGCTCCACAACAAAGTATGGGCACTGGACTTTCTCACGGCCCTTTGGTAACCTTCGAGGTCTGTTGAAAAGTGGTCAGGACCCTTGGCCAGCTTTGAAACATCTCTGACATCTTCGAAGAGACATGCAGTTCACAATTCAGACACTGTATGGAGCGACGAAACCATGAGTGTTCTCCCCATCCCCAAATCTTGTCCTTTGGAAGAGCGTTTTCCAAGAATTTGGCACTTCACCCATCTCAGACTCCTGAGAACCATCGAAAACCATCAACAAAAACCATCGAAAACCATCGAAAACCATGGGTTCCGAAAATTCGGCTCCTGCATCCCTCCGGCATCGTGCATGGCGCGTGCCCGCACTCCTCGATCGTGCGTTTTGCGAGGCACCAGCGCTGCTGCTGCTGCTGTTCAGGCCAGCAGCTGCCGAAGGAGATCGCCAGGCGCGGTAGGTGTCGGTGGAGGGAAAAAACCCGACACGACCCGTATCCCTAGGGATCCAGTCGTACCGAACCTCAGAAGGTACGACTGGACCCTCCAAACCTACATAGCGGTGTCTCCAATCACCTGCTGAGAAGGTACTTGGATCCCTAGGGTATGTCAATGGAAGTCTTTGCCTAAGCATGGATCTGAAACCGTCTCTTCTGAAAGCCAAGTATGGCAGCCAGGTGGAATGTCTGGAAAACGGAGCAAAGTGGGAGCGAAAAACGGTTGGTTGTTTGGGGAGCGGGACAGGACAGATGTCTTTTTTCGTTGAGGGTGTGCCCGGTGAAACCCATGGACAGGTGGAAAATGGTGGAAACAGATGAAAGCATACCCTAGGGATCCAGTCGTACCTTCTCAGAAGGTGGGACTGGGGTGGCTGTAGAGGGTCCAGTCGTGCCTTCTGAGAATGTACGACTGGATCCCTAGGGTATGCTTTCATTGTCCATGGAAATGGCTTGGGTGACTGATGGATTGACTGGGCACAACCAGACCAGATTTGATCACCAAGCTGTCGTTGAAAAGCACAGGACGTTGTTTACTGGGAGGGGCGCACTCACCATCCACGCCAGAAATTTGTTTGGACTCAAATCGCCGCGAACGTGAAGTCGTTTTAATCCACTCGCCTGACACAGGTGTGCAAGTACACCAGGGGTCACAAGACGGGGTGGTTTCTAGTCCCATCCAGTGAGTGGATAATGGGGACCCCTATCCTCCATGGATCGCACCCCTTGGTGACTCCTGGCATATGTGTTTTTTTCAAGTTGTTCACAAGACCATTAGCAACATGGAAGAAGATAAACGAAGACGTAGTCGAAGACATGTATTTCAGCTGGTCTCAAGCGAGCGTTGTTGAATTGAGTAGTTTGTACAGTCTGTTGGTAAAATGTGGTAAAAGGGAGCTCCAAATTTGAAAGAGTTGTTGACATTGATCATCTAGCAGCTAGCATAAGATTGAACCACCTGGACCTTCCTGTCGGGTGTCCTGGCTGGAGATCCAACTTATAGAGTAGGGTCTTCCAGCCTGACCCCGAACAGAAGGTGCTGGCGAATCCGCTTCACATGGGTGTGCAGTTTGATACACAAAACAACCGATCGGTTTTTGGTTTGTTTCCCTTCTTCCAGGAAGTTGGGACTGGCATATTGACATCCATCGGGATGGTTGAACAGATTCCAGCGCGGAGCATCCGGCTTCGGACCAAGCCGATGCAGTAGGTCTAAAAGCTATTGCCGCATCCGCTATGGCATCATCGACAACCAGAAGACGGCGGCCATTGCCATAGGAGCGGACTGCCAAGTGGGCAGGGGACGTTGATCTGCTGGGGTTTTGTGAGGAATAAGGGAAGGGATCCTGACATATATCTAGAGGGGGGGTTCTTTCCCTCATTCCCTACTACGAGTCGCACAAGTCTGTGATGAGGTTGCAGGACCCTACATCGACTATATATAGACTAGATCCCAACACGGTACCCCAGGTCATTTGGGTCCTATCATACAGGTCAATGGGAGGAGCTCTCCGCAACCCAGGAGACCTAATCAAGTCTCTCTCCCTCTTGACGCCAGGGGCCGGATATGGCTGTGAGTCATGGCTTCCTCACCAAACCATGGTAGCTTGACATCCCGAGCATAGAGGAATCTGTTCACTTGACCTTGGGTCTGGCCCAGGCTTTCCCTGGTGCCATGGCCCCATATCGAGCAGCTCCGCTTCGCTCGGTCCAACGAATGGAGATACAGACCCATAGGGTCCAGGTAGCTCCGTACTTCGGATGTCCTCACTGCATTTCGATTCGGCATGCCGATCCTTCAGAAGTACGAACTCACTCACTCACCTCCGTTCCATCCGAAGGATACCCTATACCAGCACCGAAACCAACAGGTCTCCGTTGCATGGAGGGTGGGGGAAGGGCCCGAAACACAGGTTTCAATTGGCGACCTGGCAGTGAGGTGGTAGGGATCCAGTCGTACGGAGCCTCAGGATTGGACGACGGGACCCGACGTTTTGGCACCTGTCGTCCAATCAGAATGTCTCCAATCACCTGAGAAGGTACGACTGGATCCCGAACGGGAAAGAATCTCATCAACTGCCGCGACACGCCCAAGGGCGGCTGTTTCAACTGGGAAACGGCTGTGGTCAGCGGTGCAAATTGGCTTGTCTAGGTGTCCCATGATCAGCAACACTGCAACACTCAGTAAAAGAAATGCCTTGCCTTTACTAAGCATCATCATCATCATCATCATCATCATCATTATCACTGCTACTGGTAATGGGATATATACCCAAGGTAGTACCCAAGGGTTGTCCATCGGATCTGGAACGATTGTTCGCAGGAAGCCGCTGGCCTGGTGTTTTGCGAAGAAGAACATCTCCCTATAAGATTGACAAGCGCTTATTAGACGGTAGGCGCTGGACACAGCTCTGACTACCACAAGCAATGGAAATATCCCTATAATGATTGACCCCATAAAATGTGTCCGTAAAGACTTCGCACATGTTGTAGATGGTCCCCGCAAGAATGATGTCCACGAAGTATGGTCATGAATGAGTCATTCCCTTCTTGCAATGTGTGTGTCCTTTCCAGCATACACTAATTAACCCACCCAGAAACGCCCTTCAACTTGGAGAGCAAAAGTGTTGGGTTCTTTTGAATGGGATACACCCAATCGTTTCCCTTTGACACCTGTCTTTTCAATTCCATTGGCCTCCAGGAGTCTTCGGTGACGATTTGATCATCGTAGCAGCTTGGCTATAGACTTGCCTGGCTTGACTTCACATGAGGGAAGTTATACCGAATTTTCACTGGCTAGACTTGCCACACTGGCCATTCATGTGGTGTTACACTTCACACTTAGCATGTTATACAAGTAGTTCCCGCGCAAGCCGGCGGCGGAAGTTTCCTATAAGAACAAATTGACCTATAGGAGTGTCCACGTTCTCTCCAACATGCGCGTCCTCCAGTCAAACGCACGCGCTCCGGACTTTTGACCCACGGGATTCCACGTGTGTAAGGTGTGCGCCCCCTGCAGGATCAGCAGCTCACAACAGCGTACTGGGTTGTATCTTTGCCACGACAAGAGGGGTGTATGACGAGTGGTGTATGATGAGTGGTGTATGACGAGTGGTGTATGATGAGTGGTGCATGCTGAGTGGTGTATGATGAGTGGTGTATTGACCAGCAGTTGAATGTCCTGTCCTGCATAAATGCAACCAAATACTATATCAGTATGAACTGTGCCAAACCTGCACGCCGCGAGAGATGACTCAGCAGCGAAAGATGGCTATAGCGAGAGCTGACTCAGCAGCGAGCGATGATAATTGAGCAGCGAGAGATGACTCAGTCGCGAGAGATGACTCACAGCAGCGAGAGCTGACCCAGCAGCGAGAGATGACTCCTCCGCGTACTACACTTGTACTACAAAGTGGCCAGTTCTCAGCTTCCAGCTCCACAGGTTGTTCCGCGTGCTAAAGTTGTACTAGAAAGTCGCCAGTCAGTTCTCATCTTCCAGCTCCCCAGATGCTCCGCGTAAAGTTGTACTTGAAAGTCGCCAGTTCTCAGCTTCCAGCTCTACAGATTGCTCCGCGTACTAAAGTTGTA